GTGTGGTTGGGCATCATTCCTTTCCCCCTGTCCCATCCCAAATCCTTATCCTGACCCCTTCCCAGTGCTATAATAGTCGTAAGGGCTTGGCCCTTTTCCCTAATAATTCCCTTCCACTTGCTCACTACTTTACAGGAGAAGCGCTTCAGCACATCCCCATGACCTCTTGCCCAACCACTTCTCATACTCTGCACTAATAATTTGATTTCCCCCCCCCCCCGAGTGCTAATGATCTCAGATCAACCTTCAACTCAATCAACCCTCAACCTTCAACTAATGCATAGTATTTCGGTGGTATTATTCACATTATAGTACCCAGGATTAACGAGCTTGGACTTGTTTGTTGAGGACGGATTAACGATTGGACTTGTTTGTTGAGGACGGATTAACGATTGAACTTGTTTGTTGAGGACGGATTAACGATTGGACTTGTTTGTTGAGGACGGATTAACGATTGGACTTGTTTGTTGAGGACGGATTAACGATTGGACTTGTTTGTTGAGGACGGATTAACGATTGGACTTGTTTGTTGAGGACGGATTAACGATTGGACTTGTTTGTTGAGGACGGGCTGCACTACTCACAACTTACGACGTTCGAACAATTTTTCGAACAGTACTTCGTTGACGATCTCTGTTCGACTCGCAACGCTGTAAATGTTCGTACTTCAAATATAAAAAAAAAATGCCAACAAAATCTAAAGACCTGATCTAACTTAAACCTAACTATATATACTATAGAATTTTAATGTATAATAATAATTTATATATTATAAATTATAGCAGACGCATTTAATGCTAAATGCGAACAATTATGTATTTTTTTGGGGGGGTGGGGGGGATGGCCACTGCTTTAACGAACCTAGCCTCAGGAAGGGTTGCAGGAGGTGACGGTTGAGGTCAGGTCAGGTCAAGCGAGACCCGAGAATATATATATTCCAATTTATATATTATAATTGACGTAACAAGAGGACTAACAACAATATAATTACCCCTTGATGCTCTAGATACTCTTGTAAAATACAATGGCTGCAGACTCCATTTAGCGTCTCATGTTCGTCATTAGACTTTGGTGATGAGGTTAACACCCCTTAGGGTCATGAGGTGTGGCTCCTGGTTCCTGTGTGAGACACACGAGTGTAGTGGGGGAGTTATCTTGAGGTTATCTTGAGATGATTTCGGGGCTTTAGTGTCCCCGCTCCGGCTCCCTTACATAACACTATGTGTACCGGGGGGGGGGGGTGTACATCCTTGCTCTGTGTGTACTGTGTAGTGTGCATCAAGCGCACAGTTCTCATATTGACTTGTTTGTTGACATTTGTTGTCTGTTCCGTCGTATCTGGTACTGGGGTTTCTTGGTGGCTTGCAGCCAGGCTGTCTCTGAAGGTCTGAGGGCTGCAGGCGCAGAGCTACATTCAGATCTGCTGACAACGTTGTTGATACCTATTAAGTTGTTTAGCTTAGCGCCGGCCATCATAAGAGGGGTATTGGGTCACCCTATGTGTATGTCCATGGCGGCTAACTGGCATCCAACACATTCCCCCGATGAAGAATACAGTGTATTAAAGCTTTTGGGGAACCCATGGGTGGTGTAGAGGGTTCCTCGTCTTCATGGGTGTTGTGGGTAGTTCGTCACTCGAGCCTCCTCCTCACTCTCTCTGTCACTTTGCTCCAGTGTGAAGACCTCCTGCTGTCATCTGTTAAGCTCGTCGAGTGTGTGAAAGTGTTCATACCACTCCTACTTTCATCACTTGCTCCCGTACCGTTGTTCTCCTCGGGGAGCAGTGTGGGTTTGGGGGATGAGGAGGGTCAATGTTCTCCCTGCCATACTGATTTGTAGTGGCTTCTCTGCTCATCTCATTCTAGAGGATTCATTTTTTTTGGTCCGTCAGGCAACTCACAGTTAGTGGCAGCGGAGCATAGTGTTGAGCGCTCTCATTCACGTGAGTGTTGAATAGTCAGCAATTTTGTCTTGTCATATTTGTCAAGTGCCTCCAGTGGTCCTCTGTGTGTGGATGACTATCCCCTCTTTGTTCGGTATTCTCCACTCTCCGTGTCTCGGTATCCTTGATATTTCTCTCATTTCTCTCGTGTTCCCTCTTTCGTGGGTACTCGTCATCGTGTATTTAGATGGGTTTTGCAAGGTTGAACTTCAGCTCTTTGACCCCCCCATCTTTCACTCGCTGATTTCTTGCTCTCATCAGTCTTTGCTCTTGAATATAGAGGTCAACTTCGCGAATTGGACTCCCTCGAGGCGAGGCTTCTTTGTTGTTGTTGACATACGGGCCACAACGACAGGGGGCTGAATGCTATCCGACGTAGCACGAATAATGCGACGCTGCGCAACACAGTACGATGTAATGCGACGCTGCGCAACTCAGTACGATGTAATGCGACGCTGCGCAACTCAGTACGATGTAATGCAATCCTGTGAAACACAGTACGATGCAATGCAACGCTGCGCAACGCAATGCAGTGAAGCATAGCAGCTTAACCTTGACCGTCTGAAGTCTTAAGTGGGTGCGGGGCTTTGGTTATATTAGTATGGGTGGCGCAGTGCATGGGTTAAGACTTGGTAATGTACACTGGCTTGTACCTATGTGTACTGGCTTGTACCTGTGTGTACTGGTTTGTACCTGTGTGTACTGGCTTGTACCTATGTGTACTGGCTTGTACCTATGTGTACTGGCTTGTACCTGTGTGTACTGGCTTGTACCTGTGTGTACTGGCTTGTACCTGTGTGTACTGGCTTGTACCTGTGTGTACTGGTTTGTACCTGTGTGTACTGGCTTGTACCTGTGTGTACTGGCTTGTACCTGTGTGTACTGGCTTGTACCTATGTGTACTGGCTTGTACCTGTGTGTACTGGCTTGTACCTGTGTGTACTGGCTTGTACCTGTGTGTACTGGCTTGTACCTATGTGTACTGGTTTGTACCTGTGTGTACTGGTTTGTACCTGTGTGTACTGGTTTGTACCTGTGTGTACTGGTTTGTACCTGTGTGTACTGGTGTGTACCAGTGTGTACTGGTGTGTACCTGTGTGTACTGGCTTGTACCTATGTGTACTGGTGTGTAAATGTGTGTACTGGTTTATACCTGTGTGTACTGGTGTGTACCTGTGTGTACTGGTGTGTACCTGTGTGTATTGGCTTGTACCTGTGTGTACTGGTGTGTACCTGTGTGTACTGGTTTGTACCTGTGTGTACTGGTGTGTACCTGTATGTACTGGTGTGTACCTGTGTGTACTGGTGTGTACCTGTGTGTATTGGCTTGTACCTGTGTGTACTGGTGTGTACCTGTGTGTACTGGTTTGTACCTGTGTGTACTGGTGTGTACCTGTATGTACTGGTGTGTACCTGTGTGTACTGGTGTGTACCTGTGTGTATTGGCTTGTACCTGTGTGTACTGGTGTGTACCTGTGTGTACTGGTTTGTACCTGTGTGTACTGGTGTGTACCTGTATGTACTGGTGTGTACCTGTGTGTACTGGTGTGTACCTGTATGTACTGGTGTGTACCTGTGTGTACTGGTGTGTACTTGTATGTACTGGCGTGTACCTGTGTATACTGGTTTGTACCTGTGTGCACTAGTCAGTACTTAACATATGAATTATTGAAACTGTTGAAAGCCTATTGGCCCATACGAGACAGCTATGTATATCCACTCAACTGAGTGGATATACATAGATTTTATATAGCTTATATATATATATATATATATATATATATATATATATATATATATATATATATATATATATATATATATATATATATATATATATATATATAAGGTAGCTTGGGTAGGGAGTTTATATACACATATACATATAAACTTGGTTGCTTTTTTATGAGGAAATGGGAAGTGAGAGAGGGAGAGAGAGAGAGAGAGAGAGAGATAGAGAGAGAGACAGAGAGAGAGACAGAGAGAGAGAGAGAGAGAGAGAGAGAGAGAGAGAGAGAGAGAGAGAGAGAGAGAGGAGAGAGAGAGAGAGAGAGAGAGAGAGAGAGAGAGAGAGATAGAGAGAGAGACGAGAGAGAGAGAAGAGAGAGAGAGAGAGAGAGAGAGAGAGAGAGAGAGAGAGAGAGAGAGGAGAGAGAGAGAGGGGGGGGGGGGAAGAACCAATCCAAGGGCATGGGGAAATGCTGCTAAGAACAGTGCCTGCATATTCAGTCCATCTTATCATTATCCCCCCCCATCCCCCCCCCTGCTTATCACTAGTTCGTCTCAAGCGTGCGAAGCTGAACAAACAGGCAAGTTCTCTTTTTCTCTCTCTCTCTCTCTCTCTCTCTCTCGCTCTCTCTCTTCCTCTCTCTCTCTCTCTCTCTCTCTCTCTCTCTCTCTCTCTCTCTCTCTCCTCTCTCTCTCTCTCTCTCTCTCTCTCTCTCTCTCTGTTTACACATCTGGCCCCACCTGTTGCTGTCGCTCATATTTAATGCTTGCAATCGCCAATCAATAGCGCGAACTCAGTGCAACTGAAGATGTCTTCATTCGTGGGCAACAGGTCTTCGAGTGGGCATCTGAAAAGCAACATTCAAAGAATATTTTTATTGCATTTATCATAGTTTTGTTATTAAGCATTTGTGCATATCTTATATATATATATATATAATATATATATATATATATATATATATATATATATATATATATATATATATATATATATATAAAACGTTGCTAAGGCTCAGGACGTGAGCATAATTTTCCAAATATACTCACTGCTAGTTGAGTATATTTGGGTGAGTGCAAGCACTTAGACGGGGTAATGATAACGACGTATGAGATACTCAGGGCGAATGTCAAGGTAAACCAAGGATGGGAGCGACACGGCGAGGGGACGTGGAGGTAAACACGACCAGGAACGAGGACTATTGCTCGAAGCTGTTGTAAAAGATCGAAATGTGTGACTAAGGAGGACATTGTCACAACCCGACTAACGCCTCCTGGGGCATGGTAACGTCTCTGGGGGCATGGTACGCATGCCCCAGGAGGTGTCACCATGCTTATGGGGGCGTCACCGTGCCCCAGAAGGCGTCACCACGTCCCAGAAGGCGTCACCACGCCCCCAGAAGGCGTCACCACGCCCCCAGAAGGCGTCACCACGCCCCAGAAGGCGTCACCACGCCCCCAGAAGGCGTCACCACGCCCCAGAAGGCGTCACCACGCCCCAGAAGGCGTCACCACGTCCCAGAAGGCGTCACCACGCCCCCAGAAGGCGTCACCACGCCCCCAGAAGGCGTCACCACGCCCCAGAAGGCGTCACCACGCCCCAGAAGGCGTCACCACGCCCCCAGAAGGCGTCACCACGCCCCAGAAGGCGTCACCACGCCCCAGAAGGCGTCACCACGCCCCCAGAAAGCGTCACCACGCCCCAGAAGGCGTCCCCATGTCCCCAGAAGGCGTCACCGTGCCCCGGGTGACCGTGGACACAGAGTGAGTGAGAAAGGTGACCTTGGGTAGGGAGCCCGGTAGCTGCCACTCAGTATAGCAGCCCCGGCCGAGGAAGTGTAGAGGGTGGCGTCCGGTGCAGCCCTCCGTCCTCACCTCCTACAGTACGTACCCCCCCCCCCATCCACGACCCCCACCCCTCCCATCTTCACCCCCCCCCCCCTTCCATCTATCCCTCTCTCCCATCTAGTCCAACCACTTGGGCTGGATGGTAGAGCGACGGTCTCGCTTCATGCAGGTCGGCGTTCAATCTCCGACCGAACAAGTGGTTGGGCACCATTCCTTCCCCCCGTCCCATCCCAGATCCTTATCCTGACTCCTTCCAAGTGCTATATAGACATAATGGCTTGGCACTTTCCCTTGATAATTCCTTCCTTCTCTCCCATCTAACCCCCTCCCATCAACTCCCCTCCTCTCACTCTCCCCCCTCACCTGTTAAAGTGTATTACAAACTACAGGAGCCCCTCGGGGCAAAATTTACAAAATTTAGGAGACGCGACAATGAATACAGCCAGATACAGCTGATTTTGAAGCCAATTCTTTCGAGTTGCCATTACGTAACAATTGCAACGGTTTTGTCTAAATAGAAACCCCCCCCCAGGCAACCCCCCCGTGACATACCCTATGCATTGAAAGCGACAATATTGCGGTGCTTTTAAGCTTTACTAATGCGTCGCATTTTATACGGATTGATAAATTCGGTAGAAAATGGGCATTATTCACTTTGTGAGGGTAGACTCGTGTAAACTGTATATGGCATTCATATTATTTTGTGCTTGATTAGGGTTTGGTTCGGGTAGGGGCTCCTTCCCTTACTCCTAGTTACCCCTCCCTTCCCCTCCTCTCCCCTTTCCTCCCCTCCCAGAGCCTAGACGTCCCCCCTTCCACAGGTAACACGAGACAGGATTCACTTCTCACATTCCTCCTTTCCACAAGAACTCCTCACCCATCACAGCTTCCTCCCTCTCTCCCTCCCTCTTCCTTTTCACTTTCCCATCGTATTTGTTTCCAGCGTAGGTTAGACATGTTTGGGTGGATAGAAATAGAAGTCGCCTCTTATAGGACTTCCTTCCTCCCTCCCTCCTTCCTCTCTCTCTACTTCCTCTCTTCCTCTTCTCCCCTCCTCTTCCTCCTCCCCCCTTCACATCACACCCATCGCTGCTTCCTTCCCCCTCCCTCCCATCCCCACCCCAGCCCCCCAGCCCCACCCCCCCCGGCAGGAGGAAGGACTGGACTTAAGGACCCACTCCAAGGTTACTTGGAAACAATCAAATCCTCACTTTAGGATAAGGATGAGGATTAGGATGGGGTGACTAAGGTTGAGGCTAAAGATTAGGGAGGAGAATTTTACGTGCGGCTGTTTTTTTTTTTAAGTTTACAAGTTAGAACTAAAGTTTTCTTGTGTAGATGTATGTAGCGATGAAGGGGGGATTCTAAGGTTCATTTGATTACTATGTGTATTGAATACTATTTGTCAGTCATTAACTAGATTTATGAATTGTTAAGGTGGTAGTATCTTTTGGTCACAAGTGTTACTATTACTATTTCTATTATTATTATTATTCATACTATCACCTGTCCTATCTACTATCACCCCCCCTATGGGGGCCTGGTAGCCTGGTGGATAGCGCGCAGGTCCCGTAATTCTGTGGCGCGGGTTCGATTCCCGCACGAGGCAGAAACAAATGGGCAAAGTTTCTTTCACCCTGAATGCCCCTGTTACCTAGCAGTAAAGAGGTACCTGGGAGTTAGTCAGCTGTCACGGGCTGCTTCCTGGGGGTGGAGGCCTGGTCGAGGACCGGGCCGCGGGGACACTAAAAAAGCCCCGAAATCATCTCAAGATAACCTCAAGATAACCTCAAGATATCACTACTATCATTAACACTGGTGCGTTGCTGCTGCTGCTACTACACCGAATACTACTCTTACTACTTCTGTCAATAATAATAATATTAACAAAAAACAATCATTTTTTTAATAATAAAGTTAGCACACACACTGGTGAAGGGAGGGCGCCAGAAGTGACTCACAGCTCCTCCAGCAGTAGTAACAGGCAGCTGACGTCTCCTACAGGATGTTCTGCACCTCTCCTCTTATGCCTCTTTTGTTTTCCCCTTCTACAGATTGTTGGCGGATGGAGGCGTAGGCGGGAGGTTCTGGACGCACTACTTCCAGGAGGACGCCGTCTAGTAGATGCTGTTGGGGCTCCTTGATGCAGCAGTACAGCAGCAGTTGCAATACCAGGAGCAGCAGTAGCAGCAACGCTAACAGTAGCACCGGAAATCTTTCTGACGCGGTCATTAGCGTGTTTAAATGAGTTAAAGAAAAGAACATTTTTATACATTCGTCTACTTATGCCGTAGTCACCGTGACTGTGGGAGTTAACCAGACAAAGAATAACCTTGGTGACGTGATGGGTTTTAGGGATATATATATGCAAAGGTATACACATGTATCTTGAAACACGAATATCTCACGTAGAGCGGAACGCTTCATCTTCGGAGACTAGACTTGGCGGGAAAAAAAGACCAACACAGGATTCCTTCAAACACGCGCGCCAGAACAAGCAAATCGCCCTCCAGGGAGTCCCTAAACTCAAGAGAACGAACAAGGAGTTACAGGACTAGAATTCAGGGGTTGCACACATTCATCGGTCACGATTTCCCCACAAGAATCTTGCTTCAGGCGCCAGGGAGACGAGGAGCCACGACGGGGGTAGTTAGCTCTCATCCCTAGAGTACGTGGGAGCTTCCTGTAAACCTAACTAGCAAAGTGTTCCAGAAGGCATCGAAGTGTCACAGAAAGACATCGAAGTTACTCCCGGAGCACTGGGGACGCAGGAGACATCGAAGTGTCACAGAAAGACATCGAAGTTACTCCCGGAGAACTGGGGACGCAGGAGACATCGAAGTGTCACAGAAAGACATCGAAGTTACTCCCGGAGCACTGGGGACGCAGGAGACATCGAAGTGACATAGAAAGACGTCGAAGTTACGGAGGCACTGGGGACGCTGGAGACATCGAAGTGACATAGAAAGACATCGAAGTTACTCCTGGAGCACTGAGGACGCTGGAGACATCGAAGTGACACAAGAGGCGGTGATTTGACCCACAGAGCATCGAAGTGACCAGGCAGACGGTCGAATTCGTCGGCGCAATGCGGTGCGCCACCAGCAGGGTCTTGCGGACGGCTCTCGACATCTTTCTCTACCTTACGGGTTAGTGTTCTCTTACAGGTCAGTTATCACCTTGGTGTAATTGCGAGGGATGAGTTACGGCTCTTGGACCCTGCCTCTCGGTTATTAATCGAATAGCGTAAAGGTTCCAGAGACTACTGGTTTCAGGCACATATACATTTCGTGTTGGTTCTAAGAGGTCCTTTCCGACACAAGCTAGTCCGTCTTGCAGGTCTTCTCTGAATTTGCACATGATCACACTGCCCAGTTAATCTCACACGAGTCAGTTACTCACACAAGCAACCCTCAGCCAATCTTAGCCAAATATCTCCAGTTTGCTAACTGTAGGTAGTAACTAAGTAACTGTAACCTATCCACCGCTGCTCACTGGATGGGGGGGGGGGCGGTGTGCAGGACAAATATATAAATTGTGACACTAACTCTCCACATATGTCAGTTGCTTATTTTAGAAACTGTACTTGTGGTCGGTCTCGAGCACATTGTTGAGGTGAAGATGTGCATTGAATTTTGTAACTAGCTCATCAAGATTGTAACTTACTGTGCTAAATGGGTTGTAGGGGTTCAATCCTTGAGCCCATTATGTGCCTCTGTAAACCCTCTTCCATTACCGCCCACAAGACGGGTATGGGGTGCAAAAATAAATGAACTAAACTAGCAACCCTCACATACTAACTAGTTATGCATAAACTAGTTACTCAGACATAAGTCACTAAACACACACACACACACACACACACACACACACACACACACACACACACACACACACACACACACACACACACACACACACACACACACACCATATTAACTAAACACGTCCAACACCTGTCTTTTCCTCCCCCCCCCCTTCCTCAAACCTTCCATTACCTGGGAGGTAATCAAGCCATCTAGGCCAAATCAAGCCATTTGGACCCGTCACACGACACAATCCCACGTCGATATCTTCGATGAAGATCTGCTTTATGTCTACCGTTTCTAATGGGGTGCTTTGTTTACATTGGTGACGTCACGATAGATGTGGGTGAAGCATTTACAGCGTTGTGATTCGAACACAATTCGTCAGTGAAGCACTTGTTCCGGAAGCGTTCGAAGGTCATCAGTTGTGAGTTGTGTGTAAACCGTTTTTCATTTATAAACAAAGGGGGTTTGGCGGGTGCATGGAATGGACTTTGGGTCTTTGTTTAGAGGACGGGTTGAGTCATTATAAACAAAGGCCGAAGTGAAAAGTTCGAAAAAAAAACTAGAAAGAAAAGTTCTTTCTAACGTCCCTGTGAGTCATTCGGGTATTCAGTTTCCACATGTGTCCCATTGTCCCAGGAGCATCAGAGTGAAAGAAACTCTGCCCATTTGTTTCTGCCTCTGCCGGGGATCGAACCCGGGCCTCTTAGGACTACGACCCCAGAGCGCTGTCCACTCTGCCGCGAGCGGTTCCCCCTCCCCCCTTCCCCCCATGTGTGTGTGTGTGAGAGAGAGAGAGAGAGAGAGAGAGAGAGAGAGAGAGAGAGAGAGAGAGAGAGAGAGAGAGAGAGAGAGGAGAGAGAGAGAGAGAGAGAGAGAGAGAGAGAGAGAGAGAGAGAGAGAGAGAGAGAGAGAGAGAGAGAGAGAGAGAGAGAGAGAGAGAGAGAGAGAGAGAGAGAGAGAGAGAGAGAGAGAGAGAGAGAGAGAGAGAGAGAGAGAGAAATATGTAGTAGATCTGATAGAGAAAATTAGGTCGGGAGTCAGGCCATTAAACAACCGACGGGCAGAAAGTTCCAAGAGTTCTGCCCTAGTTCAGTCCTGTAACGAGTCCTCGCAATCATGTCCCCCTCTGCCCCCCCCCCCCCCCCCCGCCATTCCCCGAAGTCAGGTCTGTCACTCACCTCGTGCGGTGCCGAAGAAAAACTCTCGGATATCCGGTTTGGTAGACTTATTTAAATTGCTGTTAAATTATGGGTTAAAACTGGAAAAAAAAAACTATGGGGAAATTTTGTCCCCCCCCAAAAAAAGTTGAGTCAGACAAGTGTCTCAGTGTCCGGTTACGGTAGAGCAACGGTCTCGCTTCATGCAGGTCCGGCGTTCAATCCCCGACCGTCCAAGTGGTTGGGGCACCATTCTTTAATGATAGCCACCTCCCGTGCCCGGTTATATGATATCGACCTCCAACAACAGTATTCCAGTTGTGCACACACACACACACACACACACACACACACACACACACACACACACACACACACACACACACACACACACACACACACACACACACACACACACACTGATACATCAGAAGTATCGTGTGCTCAGTACCTCGCCATAGATCATCACTAAGAGCTCTAAATGACCCGACCAGGATTCGAACCCATGCCGTTCAGGATTACCCCTAAACGTATACAGTACCGTGACCACCGCACCAATGATTATCATTGGTAATGTGGTTTATATATATATATAAATATATATATATATATATATATATATATATATATATATATATATATATATATATATATATATAGGACCGGTGAAAGCAGTGTGCATGACCATAGAGCCCGGAAGTGCGAGCAACGATGCATGCCTCCTTCTCTCCCTCCCTCCCTCCTCTACCCTTCTCTCTCCCTCCCCCCCCCCCCCCCCCCTCCCTGCTTCCTACCTTCCTTCAGTGCATGATCCCTCCCTTTCCCTCCCTCCACACCCCCCCTTTTTTTTTGCACGAGTCCCTCCTCTAAACTCTACCCTGTGCTTTCTTCTTCCTTTCCGTGACTCATTGTCTCATTTTGCCTTCAGTGCATGACGCTCTATCTCTCCCTGTTCTCTGCTGCATGACTCAAGCTCTCTCCGGCTCCCTCTCTCTTCCCCCTTTTACATACGACCCCATTCCATTCATTACTCAGCCTCTCTTCCCTTCCCTGACCAAACCCTGTCACATCCTCCTTCTCCTATCTACCTCCATTACTGTCTATGATAACCCTCTTCCCCCTTCTACCCGTCTGTATGTTGCCCGTCTGACCCGCACCTGTATGGCGGCTTCTATACCTTGGTGGTTGTCCCCTGGCTCGCTTTGTTTACCTTCCTCTACTATATTAGCCCCGCCCACCTCCTGTGTCTTCCGTGCTGGATGTCTGTTTCTCTCTCTCTCTCTCTCTCTCTCTCTCTCTCTCTCTCTCTCTCTCTCTCTCTCTCTCTCTCTCTCTCTCTCTCTCTCTCTCTCTCTCTCTCTCTCTCTCATTTCCACCCCTTTACGTTTATAAGGACTCAGCCCGTCCTCTAAACAAAGACCCAAAGTCCATTCCATGCACCACCAACTCAATCTCCCCCACGTACACCCCTCCATTCCCCTACTTTATTTATATATACGATTTCTTACATTCTTGTACAGCCACTAGCACGCATAGCGTTTCGGGCAGGTCCTTAATCCTAATTTTCCCCGGTATACGACCCGCCGAATCATTTAACAACCAGGTACCCATTCACTGCTGGGTGAACAGAGACTACAGTTAAGGAATGGCACCCAGTCAATCCTCCCCGGCCAGGATACGAACCCAGGTATAAGCGCTGGCGAAACGCCGGGCGAGTGTTTTACCACGGCGCCACCGGGGGGGGGGGACTCCTTAGAATACTACTAAGGAATAGATAGGCAGACAGCCTCTCCCAATAAGCTACACATGTCTCGAATAGCCAATTAAGAGGCTTCCTCTGTCCAGCAGTACGTATTAGTGGTTTTATGCAAATTATCATCCCAAATCCTTATCCTGGCCCCCTTCCAAGTACTATGTAGTCGTATAATATAATATAGTCATATTAGCTACAGGCTCTCTCATGATAATTTCTTCCCGCTTACATGCACCGCTCTCAAAAATTACCGCAGTCTATCATAAATACTTAGTTTTCTTTGATTTACAAGAATGCAAGGCTAACTACACTATTTTCCAAAGAGGTACTTTTTTTAACACTTTATTTATTTATTTATATACAAGAAGGTACATTGAGTTGTGAGAGTACATAATATCAGTGTTCTTGCATTCTTGCAAAGCCACTAACACGCATAGCATTTCCGGCAGATCCTTAAGTTAACACATAAATGTAAGATTATTAATAATAAGTACACTAGCCAAATTTTTAGTTTACCTTAATAACCACAATATAAATTGACGGGAGTGATTACATCGGCGAAGTTGCATATCTTAAATATTAGAATTGAGGGAGTTGGTAGCACAAAATACAGTGTGAGTTTCAAGCACAAGATAGGAAACTATGAGGATGAAAATTAGGTTTTCACACACACACACACACACACACACACACACACACACACACACACACACACACACACACACACACACACACACACACACACACACACACACACACACACACGGTGTGTGTGTAGTTACAGGATGAGAGCTACGCTTGTAGTATCCCGTCTTCCCAGTATTTTGTGTGTGTGTGTGTGTGGGTAGAGGGTCCGTGGCGGGTGATGGTGTATGTTGAGCTACAGTTCTTGGTCTACGTCACGTTCACAATTAACTATAGTATACTTTCTCCATATAGGTAAATTGTGCTCACACTGTCGGTATGTCTATATATATAACTATATATATATATATATATATATATATATATATATATATATATATATATATATATATATATATATATATATATATAAACTAATAAACGCCTAAAAATATAGATGTATATTAGTTTTATTCAAGTTCTGTCTATTTCACCTCTTATTCTCTCGCTAATTATATACGTCTCCTCTTATTATTGCAGGATATTTTGTTATAATTTTCGAGACTAATTTGGTAGTTGACTTCTGGATTGTTTGTTATATTGACGAAGTGAAATGTGAATGAGTGAGTGTGAGTATAAGTGAGTGGGTGCATGTGTGACTGTGCGAGTGAATGATTAATGAGTCAGTGAGAGTATGAATGAACGCATGAGTGTGTTAGTATGCGACTGAGTATGGAGCTACAAAAATAATCACAAATAATATACAAAAAAAGTATTTTTTTTCATTTTCATCCAGTACCATAAACTAGTTCATTATTGCTGTAATAAACATATTCCATCACTATATTCTATAGACAACTAGTGAGGTTGAGATCCTGAGATCATAATTAGTCTCAGGATCTCTTCTGAGATATCTTCTGAGATCCTGAGACTAATTCTCAGTTTAACTGATAATTAGTTAAATTCTTCTTCTGTTAAACTTTTTAACGCCTCTCACATAATATATATATTACTAAGAACTCTTTGACCCGGCCAGGATTCGAACCCATGCCGTCCAGGAACTCCCCTAAACGTACACAGTACCGTGACCACCGCACCAATGATCTAGACGATCATCGGTGGTACCTCCATTACAATTCTTACAACCCCACCACGGCCTTCTCAAGGCTCTTTTGTCTGTATATGACTTAACTTGTGTCCAAGCAAGTGGTCAAAATCCACTCTTAAACACGCCACTTAAGGCTCAACATGATAAGTAGCAGACCAAACTCACATTAAAACACACAGACAAAACACTAGACACGAAAAACAAACATTCACTCATACAGGAGATGATTCAGTCTTGTCAACAACCCTTAAGTGCCCTGTCACGGTGTTCCCTTCAAGCGGGCCAGTGTACGTGTTTCTATTAAGTAAAAGTTAAGAGAGTTTAGTGGTAAATATCACCCCCTAGTGCGTTTTTTTTTTTAGCGTTTTCGAGTTTGGGAACTTAGCTCCCCCCTCCCTCATCCTCGGCTTTACTCATCATGTGAAATCATAGAAAAAATACAGTGTGATTTGGTGCCTCTTATCCGGCCAAGGTAATATGTGCCTCGATAAGGCTTGCGAGTGTAAAGAAAAGCAAACTTTGCAACTCGTTAAAATTGCAGATAATGTCATCTGGTTTTTGATGGTACTAGTGTTTATTGGTAAATAAATTGTCTGAACACAAAAAATTGTGCCTCTTGAAAGTGATTGAAAAAGAACAGTCTTGCACGACCCGATTTTTTTTTATTTAGCGAGTTATATGTAAAGAATAATCATGATATATTGTGAACAATATGGCTGTCGTTGGCAACATTTCCTCACACACACACATGATGCCACCTGCACCGTCCCCTATATTTACCTAACACCTATTAAATATCCGTGTGATCACATACCTCCATTACAATTCTTACACGATAGTTAACCTCCCCCCTACATAAAAATGTCACATCACCGCCAATCCCAGCCCATAGAGTATAAAATAGGCAGGCAAAGTTGCATACTTCTGGCACCGTAGCGATATGAGTGCGTCCGTGTACCGTACTTTCCACACTGCCTTGCAAGACCACTAGAGAGGGGGACCTAGACAACGTTAATATCTATCAAACTCCCCTAACACCTATTTACATATACGCTTAACACAGTGTGGGAAGGAGTTTATGTACTTAAGAAGACTCTCCCCAGCTTCCCAAGTGATTTCGTATCTTAGATACTGGAATAAGTGGTAATGAGCGGGGTGTTGTTGGACTTGATACACGGGAGATAATTTGTAGCTCCTGTGAATATACAGCGATAAAATGACCAGCGAAACGACTCAAGATGAGGCGAAGAAAAGAAGGCTCAGGCAAAGGGAGTTTCTGCAAAGTTATAAGCGGGGAATTGGCTGGTCAAGTGAGTATTCTCCACTTCTGTCAGCTGTTGTTGTTGATGTACGGGCGACGACGGTCGTGGGAGCGGATGTGACCCTTCTGTCAGCTGAGAGTTGTAAACACTTCACAGCTGATCTATGTAAACACTTCACAGCTGATCTATGTAAACAGTTCACAGCTGATCTATGTAAACAGTTCACAGGTGATCTATGTAAACAGTTCACAGGTGATCTGTGTAAACAGTTCACAGGTGATCTGTGTAAACAGTTCACAGGTGATCTGTGTAAACAGTTCACAGGTGATCTGTGTAAACAGTTCACAGGTGATCTATGTAAACAGTTCACAGGTGATCTGTGTAAACAGTTCACAGGTGATCTATGTAAACAGTTCACAGGTGATCTATGTAAACAATTCACAGCTCATCTATGTAAACAGTTCACAGGTGATCTATGTAAACAGTTCACAGCTCATCTATGTAAACAGCTCACAACCGATCCGTGTTAGCAGCTCACGGCTGATCCGTGTTAAGTGTTCACAACTGATCTTAGTCAATGCTCAGAGCCGACACAAATTGTAATAAAGGCATCCTGGTGAGAGAGGGTGTTGGAAAGTGAGCAAGTGGAATCAAATCCTATTTTTCTCATATGACCTATAAAATTATATTAGTCCAATTAATATTTACCTGAATTTACCTGAGGGCCACTAACACGAGTGGCCTCGACGAAGACACGAACTCGGTAGCATGTCGAAAGCCAAGTTGTCGAAACTCCTCCCCATTTGTCTTGAACTTTTCCAGTTGGATTTTAAAATTTAGCAGTTAAATATTACTGTACTGTATTTATATTTGGCTAGACAATCGATTAATTACAATTATGTTAACCTATCTGATAATCTAAAATAGTTTTTGTAGATAATGCGGTTAAGGCTGATGACTATGAAGTGTTTGGTTTTGAGCTTGAATGAATGTTAGTCATTTACCAGTATCACTGAATGGAATACTTTGATCTCCTGATTCTGTTCTGAATAAACAATTATTGATGTAAGATTTGGAATTCACTGATTGTATTACCAGGCATAAAGTTTGCAGTAATCTACAAGGCAAAGGCACAGTTCTTAATATAACTTCTCATATTACTATGTATTCACTCTGAACAAATTTGGATAGACATTAAAATATGTATTTGCATAGCATTTTGAATAGGTACTGAAATATCTATGTAGGCACCACGTTGAATTGATACTGAAAACGTGTAGATGCCATGTTAGACACCAAAAGCATACAATATTTACTTGATTTACATATCACAAGTTCATTACCCATGGGGAGGGGGCAGGGGGACACATGCATATGGTAGTATCCTTTTACTTGATGTGTCTGTTCATGTCAGTATACTGTATAGGTACCTAGGAGATAGCTGTTGAAGGCTGCATCTTGGGGAAGGTCCCTCATAGGCCTAAGAGACTTGGATAAGCCTAACAGGCTTTCTGTCCATGGATAATCGGTAACAAAATTACACTGTGTATGTACTGTATTACTGTATAGAACAAAGTAATATTTCCTGAATAAGAATGTTTGTGATCTCTAAATTGTTTAATTTTTTCAGTTGCGGCGGGACTTACAGTAACGTTGCTGGGCATCATCTCTCCCTCACACACTGTGGTGTCGTGTGATGACCCCAGCATCAGGATGGCCTACCACTATGATACCATCTCTGTAGGAATGCTCCTCTGCATCTCCCTCTTTGTTCCCTTCTTTGTGGTAAGTTGGGTTATGTCTTAAAATTTCCAGCCAACTTAGTGCTATTGTAATCATGTCGTACCTTTGACAGAAGCTAATAAATTCAAATTCAAATGCATTGGCCCATTAAAAATACTATAATAAGGCCTACACTTGTAGTCTATATCCTTGACACATACCTGAGGTACCTGGGTTCAATTCCCGGTAGGACAGAGTTATCTGTTCCTGTACTCGCCTGTGTGGGGGGGGGGGGAAAGAGTTGGACACATTTCCTTTCACTTGATGCCTGTGTTCAGCTAGCAGTAAATAAGTACCCGGGAGTTAGGCAACTGTTGTGGGTTGCATCCTGGGAAAGGTCAGTAGTGGGCCTAGAAAGACCTAGAGTGGCAGACCTTGATAAGCCTGAGTACAGGCTTCCTTCCCAAGACAATGGTAATTATGCCCAAGGAAGATTATGCTCGAGTCTTTACTTTCTAGGACAGACTGGGGGGTGTAAGACTAGTCTCTAGGGGGGGTATGAGGATGATGTGATTAAACACACCTTATCTTGGGGGGAGTGGCATAAAAAACTGAGCATAAGTTTTGTTTTATGAATTTGTTATTATGTTCTTTTATCAATTTTGATGCAGGGTTGTGAAAATAGCTTGGCAGTTTGAAAGCCATGTGAACAGGAAAAGTTCAAGAATCATTGCACTTGGAAGAGGAATTAGGCGCAATTGCATATAAATTGATTATACGCTTATACTGTATTGACATGTCAGAAAGGGAAATGAAAGTCATGTTCGCCATTAAATATATTTAAATTAAATTTGTTGGATGCAGTAGAGCTATTTACAAATCTTGAAACAAATACAAAATCTGTACCCTGAACACTGCTGAGTTTTTCAGTTCAGTGTTCAATACATATGTAGGCTGGTGATGATTACCTATGTGAAGGTTGTTTATTAAAGGCTCTGATCATAATTTGGGCACTGTGCAATATTTTTCAGTCTTAACCAGTTTCCAATGAGTATTTCATTGCTTTATGCTTTACAGTTCAAGGTACATACATATTCAGACATGTTCCATGTATAAGCTTTGATCTTTACTATATTTTAAGAAGTCTCTTAGTTCTTATATTTGTAATAATACAGTACTTGACATCAATAATGCTTCATGTAAGGTACAAGCAATACACTGACATGTAGACAATATATTTTACAGTGTATATACACATGCCAGAGTATTATGTTTATAGTCTTAGTGTAGATTTTTATTTAACTCAAAATGCTTCACATGCTATGGGTCTTGTGGCTATTCTGTTGTATGAAATAAATATAAAAGGCTAGTAAATATTTGTATTATAATATAAAATAATTAAGTTCAAAATAAAATCTAGGAAATGTTTACATGTCTCAACAAGTTATAATGCCAAAATTTGTACAGGGTACAATTTGTGTGTGTGTGTGTGTGTGTGTGTGTGTGTGTGTGTGTGTGTGTGTGTGTGTGTGTGTGTGTGTGTGTGTGTGTGTGTGTGTGTGTGTGCGCATGTGCAGAAAGAGAAATACTTAAATACTGTATGTGCTTTGTAATACGAACAATTTCCGAGGGTCTTTTGGGGTAAGGATTAATTGATTAAGATAAGAGGACTCTTATCACAAGTTAACTGTACTGGGGCATTGAGCATAAAACTACTAGGTAACAAGTTATGTAATAATACATGAGGAAGTGAGGAGAGGTAAAAACCTGGGCAATTCAGAAAGGGTAAATTGTAAGTATGCAAGTACATACTGTAAATGACTGAGTATGATAAGTTAAAAGGCAAACAATATAAAAACAATAAAATGGGGTGCACAATGGGGGTCTTGTCTCTTTTTTTTATCTAATATATATATATAGATGAGACAGTAATGTTATTGTCCCATCAGCTATTGTCTGTACTGTACAACCATTTGATTAATAATACTGTACTATACTGTACAGTACTTTAGAAATATTTGTTCTAGTCATGTGTTTGTGTACTGTAAATATTCAGTTATAGTATTTAGAATATCACTATATTAGGTTGGTTAATGTGTATTTACCCTACTCCAGATATTGGCTATAGAGTGGATCATGCCCTCATCCCAGCTAGTCTTGGGGTCGTCACCATTCCGTTTGGGGCTTCGTCGCAGTTGGGGGTACACTACGGACCTCTTTGTTGGTGGCTTGTTCATGTTTTTCATCAACGATGTGGTAAAGACAGTTGTGGGAGAAGCTAGACCACACTTCTGGGACACTTGCAGACCAAACATAACATCTGTGCAATGTCAACAACAGTAAGTATTTTGAGCCTGAAACAAAAACAGGATGGATTATTTTTTTTTATAAAAGTTTTTAATACAGGTACAGTATAATAGAGTAGGCTATAGTTTGTCGTGTACTCTGTCAGTATTATTAGAATATTCTAGGATTTTACAAAAATAGTTTTGGTATTAATGTTTGGCAAAGTAAGCTCTTGTTGAAGTTTCATTCAGCTGCTTTCTAAAAGTCCCACTGTATCCGTCAGCAGGATCGTATACAGTAAGGCAACACGACATATAAGCACCAATACCACAGGGAACTTTTAAGCCCGCCTCTGTAGGCTCATTTAGGTATACAGTATAGTTGCAAGAAATTCACTGGCGACTTAAATACCTAGCTACCAACAAGAGGTTTTGCTAACTACCTGTTGGCCAACCTGGCCTGCCATGGCGACCGCTACCAGACAGCAGCATCATGCACCTTCTGGCCTCTGACCTCGCCAGCTCTACATATGTTCTGACTTTTGTTCAGTGTGCAGTGACTAGATTAAGATAAGTTTTCATCCATGAAACTTGGTTTTTGTAGTGCAGTGGGTCATACTTACATGTAACACTTTGCATGTGTATGTTTACATGGTTTCACATGGTTTTTCTATAGTTAGGGGACAAGAAGACTGGTATACGTATCAAGGTTCCTCTACTTGACCTATTAACATTTCTCAGGATGCAACCCATCATTGTTATTTAATTCCACAGGTACCTATTTTATGCTAGGTGGAGAGAGCCAAAGGAAATGTTATTCAAATACTTCTGTCCTACTGCATGATATTGAGCCTGGGGTCCTTCTGGCCATGACCCAACTCTATGGCTCTATTCAACTCTATTACTCAATAACCCAACTCTTGGCTCTCAGTCATCTGGAACCTAGATTAGTGACGTAGGTGTTTTTCTCTGTGCACAGGGTATGTTCGGCTATTACTATTGCTTTTGTGTATGGGCTTGGACTGATTGGTATATCTTGACAAATTGTGCCTTTGCCAAGAAGACGTAATCATTTATTTTTGTTTAGTTTTAGCGTTGCAGGCCTTTAAAGTTTTGCTTTACCTGAATTTTGGTGGTTAGGTTAGTTATTGCTAAGAGCACTTGCCTTGCACCCAAGCTTCTTCCTTGTATTTTGTATTGCAGTCATAGCAAAGAGCCTAGCAGACTGTTTTGGGTCTTTGAATTTTTTTATATCCCTAGTGTTAAACCTTAGGACATAACACTATGAGGAAAGGTAAAGACTATGCCTAAGCCGGATTTTATGTGTTCTGTATGCAGTAATTTTACTCTAGTCACCCTTTCTATCCCCCATGCATTTTCCATTGGGTTCAGGGTCGGTTTCTTATTTGGGTTTGTGACATATAAGTAGGTGACCACCTTGTTCAAACCAACATTCCCATGACCATCAAATTTGCAGATGACACGAATATCAATAAAGCAAAAGCATTATTGAGCTTTTTGTAAAGTGGTCTATATAAACTGCACAAATGGTCAGAAGACTGTCAAATACTTTTCAGCATTAAAAAAAGCAAGACCTTATACACAGGGCACAACAGTGCACATCTTAGTACCATATCAACATCATGATGACCTTGCAGCAGACTGATAGATGAATCTATTAGTTGTGATTCACCAGTCATTGAAAGTTACCGAGCAAGTAAAGGCTGTATAAAAGCCAGCCAAACCTTACTGGGATATATTCCTCACTACATAGTCTATTCATGGTCTCATATATCATTTATCTACTAGAAGCAAAATATGGACAGAATGAGAGGATTTTTGGTATTTTATAATTTGCAAAATGATGGTTTGCCATTTTATGCAGCGTGAGTTTACATTTATCTATGCCAAGACATCACGTTAATGTGACATATGAGTGGGTAACGTGTCCAGCTGGGAGTACCTTGATCACTGGTTTGAGTCACCTCATTGCCCCAATTAACATTCTTTAAGATTTACCTTTAAATGGCCCAATTTTTACACTAAGATATAACACTCTAGTGTGTGTTCCTATCTTTCTCCACACACTTCATTGCTTCATCTAGATCCCCGTACAAGCTGAACTGCCATTCTTTTAGCCTAGTCATATTTGAGCTGTGACAACTTCTGTTAATCTACTGATTTTGTTACTTGCCCCATACTGTATAGATGTTTTGTTTGACATTGTCATAGCAATGAATCTGCTAGTTCCTGTTTGCACTCTTCTACTCTCTTTAAATTCACCTAAGAGCTCTCATCTAATGACACTTTTCATGGCTCTACTGCATTTGATAGCTCAAGATTACATTTAACATTGTCTGTATTTACTGCAAGCTTCCACACACACCAGGAAGTGTGTGTCACGGCTTGTATGAGGTAACCCAGAGGTGTGCATGGTGCTGCCGATTGATGGCAGTTGACATGGGGTGTTGAGGCATACCAAGTGGTGGTTGGCAAGAGTCCTTGATGGCAGTCAAATTAATGGCAAGAACTGGAAAGACTTTTCATGGTCCTAAAAGATTTTTGTATGGCTTACCCTGTGTCATTCTGGACTGGACTGAATAATCTATGGTACATAAGGAACAAAATACTAAAGGAAACTGCTGTTATTTATTATTCTACACTACACTGCATCTTCTAATTTTTCATCCCTTTAAAAAAGTCTATCCAGATCATCTCAGCAATTTGACCTATATGACCTTGCAGAGATCCATTGAAAACTTCCCTTTAGTGCCAGTGTTCATAAGTTGTCTAGCTTGGTTTTACAAAATAATGTTCATGAACATAGTGGTATTTTACTTCAAGAAGCTAAATGTTACCAGTTACAGGTTCAGGAAAGTGATTTCCATATTCACTCAAAGCCTTATATTGTACACATTCAGAACTCCACTTTTATAGCATATCCTGATAGCCTTTACAAGTTACTTATTCAGCAGTTTCATTTGTTAAAATTTTTGGTCTTTAAAACTCCCTTGTTTATGTTCAGTGATTGTCTTTCACTTCCTCTTTCCATTGTTTTAATTATATTTTTTCTTCTGTATTACCTCTTGTTTGGTCTTGTTTGAAGAGTTCTTCTCTTATTATATTATCTTGAAGAGGAAAGAAACCTTGGCTTTTGCATTCATTGATAATATTTTATAATTACTGTAAACGGAGATTTATCTTCTATCCAACTTTCAGATATATTTCGGTGACTTGGCACGACTGTACAAATCCATATGGACTTTCTCACCCAAAACTTGTGGACTCTATGAAGTCATTTCCATCTGGTCATGCTTCTATTTCTGTCTTCTCATCTATTTTTATGATCGTAAGTTGTGATGTTGTTTTTAAAGATATTAAGTAGCTCTTTTCTCCAGTGTTACCTGGTACCAATAGTATATACATTTGCTTGAAGCTCTTGCAATTACTTTTGCTCCAGTTATAATTAAATAGGGTTAAAAAAGAAACTCGTATATAAATTATTAGGATTGCTGAGTGGTCATATATGCCAGAATCCAGTTAATTTGGGTAGGTAGGTAAGTAAGCTCCTGAGCATCATGTTTATCTTCTATGCAGGAGTTTAAACCTTTGTCTAGACACCCTTCATTATTTTCAAATTGAGATGGTGTGGGTAGTGTCACATAACAAGTGTCTCCAGCAATATTTACTGTATTGACTTTAGGGTAAAAAGAAATAAAAAAAGTGTGTAGAGAGTAGGCAGTTTCTGATTACTGTCAACAGGCTTTGAGCTCTTCTGCCTTAGCTCACCTTAAGTCTTACACTACTAGCTTCCCTTGAAACATGACCCAACAATCGGTTTACAACCAGGTCCCCAATTACAGGGGTAAACAGTTAAGGACAACCTTCCTGTATTACATTGTAGGTACTGTATTGTGTTATAGTGAATGTTGGTGTATATATGCTCAGGGTATTAATTCACACACACAGTAAATAAATATTTATTTATAGCAAATCATAAGACAGTGAGTGAGGAGCCACTAGACATTTATTGACTGTGAGGTATGACTTTTGACTTGTAGTGGAGTTCTGAGTGTGTCTTCAGTTGGTCACAGGATCTAGAATAAATAAGGTGTTCATCACAATTCATGTGTCAAACTGGGTGGACAGTATAAGGTGATTTAGAATGTTCAGACAAGCCATAGAGGGGGGGGGGGGAGGGGGTAAAATATCTCATTCTATTGACATACGAAAGTACAATCAACAAACTATCAATAATTATTGCACTAGTGTAGAGTTTGAATTCTTGGACATAGCATTAGACATCTTCAAGAACCACCAAGACCAAGGGTGGGTGAGTTGGGCTATCAAAAGTAATTTCTGCAATATTAAGAGGGAGTGTGTATGGTATGAAAAAACAGAATATACTTGTTGACACGGATTTTGGAATGTTGCTAGTATTTTAAGACCTAATTTATCACTTTATTTGTCATGACTCTCTTTGAGGGCTCTGCTCTCCAATAGACATATTAAATGAGATGATGAACTTCCTATACAGTACTAAGAGTTTAATCTCGGTCTCGGTAATTTTTACTGGAGCAGTATTATCATTTAAATGACTAGCATAGGTGGCTAGCCTGCTCTGCAGACCAAACTTCAATAACTTGTCCCTAAATACTGCTGTTGGAAAGTGATTAGCGCTGATAAATTTAATCAGTTGAATGTATAACTGCAGCTTCATGAGATTGGTCTAAATTAAAGAATTTGGTCTACTTTTGTGACATAAATTCAATATTAAGTATAGTGTACATTCCACATAAGAGCAAAATCTAGGACAATATGGTATAGTCTTTTTGATATTGCATACGTATAAGATTTTCATATAGGTGCATCAAGGGCTTGTAATTGTTTTAAAGAGTGGCTTGTGGGAGGACACTTGCACATAAGTTGGTTGGGGGTGGGGTAGGGGTGGGGGGTTGGGAAGAAGAGCTTTTACATGATAATCAGACAATGATATACATGGTGTAATAGATGGGTGGATCTTAACAAAAAATAGAGAAGACTAATGGACTTGGTCGTCCACCAACAAATCTCGGGGAAAGATTTAACGTGTATAAAAAAGAATGGCTTTCATGTCTCATGTCCGCTCCTGACATTGAACCTTACAAGTGTGGTCAGGGAAAAGAAAGGGGGGGCAGATGCAAAGCAAGAACCCAGGGATAGTATTTGGAGGATTTGGATGGCTCCTCAGTGGCCATTTGACTAGTTAAATCGGGTAATTGAGTTGGCCAGGATGCACTGAACCTTTTATTATTTCCCCAATCTCCCTACTAAAAAGTCAGATTTAAGTCTAAATTGAAGATAAACTGGTTAATATGTCTCTATGAACAGCAAACACGAGTGGCCAAAGGGCAACATGAAGTTTTTGTTTCACCCTTACCTTCTGCCAGAAGTTGAGCTTCACTATATCTGCCCTTTAGATCATAAAGCACTGTAGGCCCCTTCATCACATCAGAGCACAGGCCTTGAAGGCAATACCTTAGACAGTACTTTTGCTCTATTTCTTAACGCTTATGTTCTGTCTCACCAATACTTACATCAGTTGCATTTACTGTTACTATAGTTGTTTACTGCTAATAATTGACAACCTTTTCTAGTTATTTTAGCTTATTAAAATAATATTAAACTAGGTTATTGAAAATAAATGAGAATTGTGGAATTTGCTTTGCTTTTTTTTAACTTTCAAGCAGCAATTAAAATAAGTTTGTTAAATATTTACAATATTTTATACAAAATAAAGACACTATAGTTTGCAGACTCACCAATGTCAGAAATACTCTGGTTCCATAGTCTATGCAGAAGTAGAGTTGATATTAATTATATTTTATAATTACCAATTGATAGTGATATAGATGTTTATCATATGACTGAAATAATAAGAAATTCTGCACTTGTTTTATATTCAATAAGAAATTTGTTAACTGTATGCTTCATTTTGCAACAGAACAGAAACATAAAACTCTTTCCCCCCCCCCCCCTCAAATATATGTCGGATTTATATGTACTGTATCATACTGAGAGCTTAATTTGTATCATTGAAGGTGTACATCAAGCAGCGTTTATGGAATGCCTTTTCCATGCTGGTAGCTCCTTGGCTGCAACTGATATGGGCTATATGGACTGTAGTTTGTTGTCAGTCTCGTGTGTGGGACAACCGACACCACTGGTGGGATGTCCTATGTGGTGGTCTCCTAGGAGTCTTTGGAGCTTTTGTTACGGTACGTAAAGTGGCTTCATTGTGTTTCTTCAAGACAGGTCTACATTAATGTTTTCAATAATCAATGTAGAAAAGTCAAAATAGTATTTATTCATTTGTTTTAAATCTAGTACAGTATAGTAAAAGAATTAATTGAGGTTACTTGGTAATTAGACACGGGTACCTTGCATTGAATTTTATTGACTTATAATTAAGCATATAGAGATACACAATAGAGATAACTTACAGTTTTCACAAGATTATTTGTCTTGGTGTCAATTCAATATCTGGAGAACACATCTGAGTATTGAGTTGAAACTTTCAATGTAGCAGTTGTGCTTAACTGCTGCAACACATGGTGGCTACGGAGGTGTTGCAGCAGCTAATCACAGCTGCTACAACACAAGCACTGCTGTCATGTATTGCAGCAGTGCTTGTCTTGAATTTTGGGCGATTACATCATGACCACACAGAAGATGGAGAAACGACAATGTTTCTGTCCGTCCTGAATCTTTATAAAGCATTGTGTGAGACTGGAAGAATGGGCTAATAAATAAGGAAAGAGTGAGGAGCAGGTAAGGTAAGGTAATTTCTAGCAGAGTAAGGTGAAAGGTACAAATGGGATGAGTGTGAGGAAGATAAGAAAAAGAAGAGGGGTAGGCTGAAGTCAGGTCACATTTGTTACGAAGGTTAAAGCATTTACGTATGTTCTGTGAAAGGGAAGTCAAGAACAACAAAGCTGGAACATAGGTTCATGCTGGGTATCACAGCCGATTTGACAAGATGGTGTCTGTGAAGAATAGAGGCAGGAAAGATTGTTTTAGAAGACCAATCTATAGGATGATTAAGAGTCCCTAACATGACAGAAGAGAGCATTGTTTATGTCTGCAGACTTTGATATAAGGAACACAAAAGAAGTGTTGTCATTTAGTGTATAGCCAGTTTCACCAAAGTATTGCAGGACAAAACGAATAGGAAATAGAGTAAACACCAGCAGCATTAGAAACAGGAGGGGCAGTGTGAACCACATTGCTACATAATGTATTAATTTGTCGAAAGGCGAGCTTTACATCAAGAGGACGAAGGGTATTAGTGAGATTTTTGAGTTCAGATATGAAAGGAAGGCAGAGCACAGTTGTACTAGTGTTGGAAACAGGTTTTGAATGAAATTCCATTTAGCTTGATAATAGGCACAGTTGATCAAATGATAAGAGGTAACCAAGGCAAGAGAAAGATTTGTAAATAAAAGAAATTTCAGGATTGAGAAACTGAAGGTTGCTGGAGTAAGAGACGAGAACACTTTTCTTAACAGGAGGAGGATGGTAGGAAAAGAATTGAATATACATACCGTATATTCATACATACATACCGTATGTATGTATATTCAATTCTTTTCCTACCATCCTCCATTTGATCAACTGTGCCTATTATCAAGCTAAATGGAATTTCATTCAAAACCTGTTTCCAACACTAGTACAACTGTGCTCTGCCTTCCTTTCATATCTGAACTCAAAAATCTCATAATACCCTTCGTCCTCTTGATGTAAAGCTCGCCTTTCGACAAATTAATACATTATGTAGCAATGTGGTTCACACTGCCCCTCCTGTTTCTAATGCTGCTGGTGTTTACTCTATTTCCTATTCGTTTTGTCCTGCAATACTTTGGTGAAACTGGCTATACACTAAATGACAACACTTCTTTTGTGTTCCTTATATCAAAGTCTGCAGACATAAACAATGCTCTCTTCTGTCATGTTAGGGACTCTTAATCATCCTATAGATTGGTCTTCTAAAACAATCTTTCCTGCCTCTATTCTTCACAGACACCATCTTGTCAAATCGGCTGTGATACCCAGCATGAACCTATGTTCCGGCTTTGTTGTTGTCGACTTCCCTTTCACAGAACATACTTTAATGCTTTAACCTTCGTAACAAATGTGACCTGACTTAAGCCTACCCCCTCTTCTTTTTCTTATCTTCCTCACACTCATCCCATTTCACCTTGTCTTCTCATAGACATAATAATATAGGATAAAAGTCACACCTATGAAATTTATGTAGAGAATTACACAGTCTTTCACACACTGCTGAGTGCTTTGTCAATATCCGAGTATGTAGTTAGAACAAGACTTGCATCTCAACGACTAATGATGCTGCTACCATGGACCCAATCCTCTTATCCTTATTGACTTCCTTATCACATCACCTCCATTCCCGACTGCCGATGCACCTAAGTGACGTCTTCTATGTTATTATGGTCTGGTGTCTTTTCTGTGATCCTGATATTCTGAGATGTGGAGTTGTTATTAATAGACGTGTTCATCTGGATGCTATCACTCTTTAACTCCCTCCATAGCCAAAGGAATGTGGTTAATGGGACTACAGTACTTGCATTCATCCATTTATTGAGATCTAATTTTAGTTTGCAGAATAATTTTTCTAGTACTGTACAGCTATCCTCTGAAGTAAAGCTATGTTACCAATTTAAGTACGGATATTCAGAGCATTTATTAGAACCCTTTATACTACCCTTCTAGTTCTAATATTATTACATTATTAAATGTGAAATAATCTATAAAAAAGTCAGTATTGTCATCCATTTCCCAACTGTGGGTTTCTACAGCACTATTACCAGCCATGATTCTACATGCTGTCTTGTGTTCTTCAATTCTGATCAAATTTCCTCCACATAAACCTCGTTACAAACCCTTTCCCTAATTGTATTTGGGTAATTGAAAACAATTTTGTCTTGGATTGGGTCCATGGTAGCAGCATCATTAGTCGTTGAGATGTAAGTCTCGTCCTAACTACATACTCGGACATTGACAAAGCACTCAGCAGTGTGAAAAACTTTGTGTAATTTTTTACGTAAATTTTACAAGTACCTAATTGTGTTTTTTTCCTATGCCACCTTACTCTTATTTGCTACTCTCTTTATTTATTGGCCCATTCCTTCCATTCTTCCTCATACACGACTTTGTAATGGTCCAAAACTGACCAAATTGTCGTCGATTCTCCATCTTCTGGTGTGTGGTTTGGTCATCATATTTCAGCTACATTGTGACTCATGTCTGCATATGGGTGTTTACAAGTTCTGGATATTAGATACTTGAACGTAATATTAAATTTAAAGTTAATAAGATTGCTCTTTTACTTACCATTTGTTTAATCCAACAGCTGCATTACTTCAGCAACTGGTTTATTCGAGAAGATGACATTGATAAGCCCATTTCTAGAGATGCACCCTTTTGTCGTCAAGAAGATCATGCGTCCAGGTTTACCCGCACTTCTATCAAACGTCTTATATCCAACACTTCAGAAACCGACAACCACAGTGACCTTCGCCATGATGACCGAGAGCTTCGAGACATCAACGGCACACCATAGTCTATAAATAAAAACTGTATTAATGAGCATAATTCTAATATAATTTTATTGTATATATTAAATTAGCTCTACCATATTGTAAAGTTATATATGTATATCTATATGTATGATAGTCCTGTGTATGTATACTTCCCTGTAAATTTTACTCTTGAAGTATGTATTTTTATACATAAGAGCTTTCAGAGTTTGATAAGACCTGTTAATATTGTACCATATTAAAATAAATTTTAAGAGTGAAAGAAATTTAATTAATGTACGAGATATTTTTACGTAAGTATTTTTAAGTGCTGGAATTTAGTAAGTAGTGAACATTACATAATATAGCGTTAAGTCTAAAATATTCACATTAATGCCAGTATCCTTTGAAAAGTGATTTTATATGCAGTGGTGCCTCAGCTTACGAATTGAATCCATTCCCAGAGTCGGTTCATAACCTGAAAATTCGTTCCCATAAGAAATAATGTAAATTTAATTAATCTCTTCCACATTCCCAAAAATATTAACTTCAAAGTAAATTTTATACCTAATTCACCCAAATCTTTAGTGCTAAAGTATGTACAGTACAAGTTATTGCTTACCTTTATTGATGACTATTGTTGGCGTATGAAAGACGGTGAGGAGGAGGGGGGGGGGGGAGAGAGAGAGAGGTGTTAGTGTTTGGAAGGGAAGTCCCCTACCATTATAACATCAGGCAATGATGACTTCTCTGGGGTACTCTCTCCTATGTTTTGCAGGAATACCAATAGGACCTGGTTGTGGCTCACTGCTTGTTTGTGTTACTAAGAGTCTGTCTAAAGACCCTTGTTTTCCCTACAAATTAACACTTGTCTGTAGTGAGGCATCACATTGTTATTTAAAAGGTCAATGCAACAGGCTGCTACAGCTTTATCTGGGTTCGTTTTTCAACAAAACTTTACAGTTCTTCCCGTACTTCACACATTTTCTTAAAGAGCAAGGGACATCCTCTACTGCCTCTACTCAACTATTTTCTTAGATTGAACCTTACCACTGATTTTCTTGGGACCCATGGCAAGATATATAATAATTGTGTTCAAATACCCAAAAATCCAAAAAACACATTCTTTACAAAGAATTTAGGCGCGATTGTCACTAGGCGAGAGGCACTGGTATACAGAGGCACGGTAGCCACCACGTGCTAGGTCAGCCATACGCGTATCAACAAACTACGTTACCCGAGGCAAAGTTTGTAACCCGATTCGGATTTTATGAAGAAATTGGGCTCGTAACCCGAAAAGTTCGTAAAGAGGGGCATTTGTAAGCCGAGGTGTCACTGTACTATTTTAGTACAAAATAAAGTAACTGAAACATTACTGTAGTACACACTATTTATGTGGGGGGGGTAAGAGCATTAAGACAATCTATTTCCTCTGTTATAGTAAGTATTTAAGTACCTTTAATAATTTTATTTGCAAATCTTAATGTTTCCATGTGACTTTGCAATAGTTTCACTTCCATAAGGTTTACAACCATTGTCATTGCTATTTTAAGCCAATCAAATACACAGGTGGCAGTGCTCTTGAATTTTAAAACTTTTAAATCTTCCTAACATGCAAAAATGTGATTGGGAAGGATAATGGAGCTGAAAGATTATGTACAGTAATCAGTAAGGCTATGGTTAAGCTGAGATTGCATATAATAGTGTGCTAAAACTGCAAATATGGCTTAACACTATTATAACTTAATAGTTTTTTACATTTAGAATATCTCTGGACTGGAATGATCATTAAGAGGTGGGGTAAAATATCAGGCAAATGAATTTCTAAAACACTACATGTACCTTGAGACTAAGGGAATAAAATTTAAAGTTAAAGAGTAGTACAGGCTGTAATGTGTTCTAGAAGCCTCCTAATGCACAGTTATTTTTCCACCATTTCAATAAAATAAATACTGAACACAATAAAAAACTTGGCTACAAAATACAAACATAATTCACCACTTTCCAACAAATATACTAATCATCATACAGGTACTTTACTGTACTTATGAATATTTACATTAATGATAATATAACCAGCAAAAAAATCATCCTAGAAATTGTATTTTAATTTTTCTTTGGTCCCTCAGTTTAGCCAATAAACAATCTAGTAAGAGTTGGTTTTCCATTACTGTCAGGAAGCCTATTAAGCCGACTGAGATCCCCAATATAGTGAACAACAAGGCTTGTCCGCACAATTACTAGCCAGGCCCTACAGTACTTAATGACACACACACATTATCTACTACACATCAGAAATGTGCAAAGGAAACTATCACCACTATTTTGTAATTGCAAGCAACTATTTTTTATTTATAAACTTTGCATTCTTCTATTTAACACACTTCATGATATGCACTAGTGTATTTATATAATTTTACAAATATTAAACTATGACTGCATATGAAATGTATTTCTGAACAGTACACTTAGTTGCTCCGTAAGGCATGATCATATTAACCCTTGGTTTGGACAGTTTAACATTCCACACCAGCACTGCTGATACTTTTTATACTATAGTTTACTTCTAATCCACTTACTGACAAAGATTAAGGGGGATACCACATTCAATCAATCATGAATCAGTGCACTTCACTGGATTCTGGTCACAGCCCCATAAAATGCGGAAGATGACTGACACCACCAACACTTGGCCACTTGCATTGCAGGCAACAAACATCTCGCCTCTCATCGCCTCGCCAAATGACTGCTTTTATTTGGCAGTCAATACTGTCCTATCTCTCAAATTACTTACTGTAACTCATAATATATATTGTTGACTGCTGTTACAGTGTGTATCAATACCCTATGCATATGTAGACCAACCATTTGCCACAATACCATCTGAAACTGGGTCATACTAGAGCTAGGTAGATGCTAGAGAATACAGTTAAGAAGTGTGATATAAAACTCACAGCCTTTCCAAGCTTTCTGTGAAGCTTTGCATCACAGACTGCCAAGCAGTGTCTTTCCAGCTACTTAATGGCATACTACACTAAACTGCTACCAAAACAAAGCTCCTTACAATCTACCTAACAGTCCCTCCTATCCCAAGGTAGAAAAAACACTACAAAACAATGACAGGAAAGAAGATAGAGAATGGTAGCAATCAAGTGTTGCTCAACATTTTTTTTTATAATGTGTATTCAAATTCCGATTACCAAATTATAAGAATTTTAGATACAGGGATTCTATCTGCGAGAGAAACAGCCAGAGCAACAGAAAAGTAAGACTGAGCAAAGCATTGGAGCACCACCACTTGTGATTAGCTATTAATCAGATATAAGACAAAAATTAGTAATTTACATGTTGCAATATATCAAGACAATAAAAGATTCTGCTAACCTGGAAATATGTGCCCTTCAGTATGGTAGCAATCAAGAATGAGCAAATTGGAAATAAGATTGAATGCTTTCTGTGCCTCGGGCTGAAGACCCTCCTCACCCAAGGTAGTTGAAGTGCAACACATTGAACTCTCAATGAACAGAAACCATCACCAGACCAGAGATGAAGCAAGAGGTCACAAGTATTCTCTGCCACCCATGGGGAGGAAAATCCCTCCTTACACTATGGTATGGAGGCAAAGGAATAATCCAACAGAGGGATTCCAGCCCACAGACAACTTTATCAATTCCACAGACACACACAAGATGCAAAATTTCCAGTATTACAGGATCTACAGCAATAGAGGGGATGTGTGAGAATACATATTCGAAGAGCAAGAATTGTACAGGCTTTGGTTTCTCACTGTGGAGAAGAGGAAGACTGTTCAGCTTGTCGAAGTTGATTAGCTCTTAGGTACCTACTTATTGATTGGTGATGGGCATCAAGTGCACAGAAATATGCCCAAATGTCTTGCCTTGCCTAGGAATTGAACCGAGAACCAATCGGTTATGAGTCACCTACAATGTACTGTACACGTACAGTACTTTGTTGTTTCACCACTGGGGTCAGCACACAAGCCCAATGCACCAAAAGCCAGCTGTATACAGTGGTTCAAACAGGATCAAGCTCACACACTTCAGACTAATTGCCCCTGAAGGCAACCTTGACACCAATGGGAAATATTGGAGGCTGAAATTATTTAGCCGATTAGCAATTTTATGAAAAGTTTAAATTTAATCTCCATGATCACATTCGATAAAGAGCTGTTAGTATCAAAAGACACTACAGCAAGTCACCAGGCTGCACCAAGTACTGTATACACAGGCCAAAACATTTACTGTTGAGCTGTAGCAAACAGGCTCAGGGGATGGAGCAAATGTACTTGCCACAGCCAGTGACAGGTCACCAGGCCTATGTTTAAACCAAAAGCAAGAATTGGAGGGGAATGCCCATGGGCCAAAGCAAAATTTCAGAAAAACAATTATGAAAACACTTGACAAGGTGTGACCTGGAGGAAACAAAGCAGACTACACCCCAACACAGGTGAAGTAGCGACTGAATGTACCAGATGCTCAGCACAGAGCTTACAAGTTGCAAATGTGGCATAGAGCACTAACCAAACTAGGTGCAGAGTATAACTGGTCACTGACAACCCCCCCCCCCCCTTAAAAAAAAAATGTCTTGAAGCCCAACAAAGGTTGCATGCAATGCTAGGTCACCAAGACCTCTGTCCCATATCAAAGTGCAAAGGTATCTGGTAGCTAAGAAAGGCATTCATGCCTAAGCAAAACCTGTAAACAAAAGACAGAAATGGGCAAGAGAAATTCATGGCAAAAATATGAAAAATACAGCCACAAAATCTTGTACCAAGTCAGTACAGAAGGGTAAGCACAACATCCTGTTTCCCATACCTGGCGTGAAAAAGTGAACTTTTGTACTTACACATAGCATAAAATTGCATGACTTTGAACTAGATCTAGGAGTGCAAAAGCTCCCATAATGTCACAACAGTACTTGGCTGTGCCACTGGCTAAATAATTGACTGGGATCCAATCCTTTTGACAAATCCGTTAAGCCCTTTGTTCAGTCCACCTATTTTGTACTATAGGGAATTTAAGATAACCCATTCAGGCATCTTGCATGTGCATGATACGAGACTTATAGGTCCATAATTATCAAGATATTTGGGTTTCAAAGAGGTCAATTATTGCAAGTTTCCATTGTGTGGATTCTCTGAAACTTAACATAGTGCATTGAGTATGTTATAAGTGACTCCATCTTCATCAGGTACAAGGCTTTTGCCATTTTTCATAGCAGCCCTAGCCTCTTGGGCTGTCCCAAGAGACATTTTATTTGTCCCTATTCATCATCATCACTGAATAGTGCTTTTGCTATCTGATTCTATTATTAGAGTATTCTACAAGAGCTGTTCTCTACTTATTTTTCAAGGAAGATGATTACTCTACTTGCGTATTAATTTCCTTGGGGTCTTTGACTGCAGTGAGCTGTGCTCTGCTCTCATTAGCTTTCTATAGTATTGCAAAATGTATACCTGGCATATACCTATAGACCTAGAGCAGGTTCTGGGAATTTTTCTAATCCCAAGGCCAACCCTAGGGGAGGGGGCCAAGGCTTACCTTGTGATAACTTGGTCCACAAGGCTGTTGCTTGGAGCAGCCTGCAAGTCCACATATCCACTACAGCCTGGTTGCTCTGACACTTCTGGCAGTAACTTGTCTAATTATTATTAATTAAATATTAATGTAGATATTGCTTATTGCACATTTTATCATTTTCTTAGGCATCATTTTGACACCTGTAATGCAGTGATCTTTGTTATCAATTCAAAATCAAGAGTCCCAGGTTCTATTCCCAGACAAAACCAAGACAGTTGGGCAAATTTCTGTTTTTCTAGTTCCCCCTGTTCACCTAGCAATAAACAGGTAACTGGAAATTAGACAACTCCTGTGGGATGGCTAAGGGAGACCTCAGTAAGTCTAAGCAGAGGCTTCCTGTGCCTGACACTGGTAAACCATACAATACCCAGTAAATATGAGGAAGCTAGATCTCAAACCTGAATGCTACCATACCTTTATACCCAAGGAGGAATATGATGTAATAGTCTAAAGGTCATAAAGATGGTAACATTTGGATCAAGAGCCAAGTTCTAGTTCTTGTTGATTTTAATCATAAAGAACTTGATTAAGTAACGAAGGAGCTGACACATTTAGGGTAAATTAGTGAATGCTACACCTAAGTATGTTCTAAGGCACAAGATTACTCAGATAAGGTGGAAGTAAAGAGTCTGAGCTGGTAATATTAGACTTGGTGTTCATCTAGTGCAGTGGCTCCCAGCCTTTTATAATTCACTGTGTCGGGGGACATGAAGCCAGAGTGTATTCATAAAGTTTAGCTTTTTATCGAGGTCCCCCCACTTCCAAGGCTGAATTACTGACCCCATCCAGGATGCAACCCCACAACAAGCCGATTAACTCCTGAATACCTACCCACTGCTAGGTGAACAGAGGCATTAAGTGAAAGGAAATGTGCCCAACCATTTCTGTCCTGCCCAGGATTCGAACCCGGAATTCCTGATTGCAAATAAATGACAAGAGACATTACGTTCAACACGCTTATAACTGGTTCATATTTTTTGTTAGAGTATACACAATTACAAAATACATTAATACATAATATTAGCCCCATGGACCCCCTTGAAATTCTTCCATGGACCCAAAGTTGGTAACCACTCACTGATCAAGAGTTAGGGAAATGAATGAATGAACATAATGAATATTTGGGAGTACAGTATAATATATAATGAGCAACTTTTGTCCAGTGACCACTCTTTTTATAGTGCTTTACTATATAGAGCTAAAGAACAGAATGTATAATGGAGGGTTCAGAGGGAAACGAGACTACAGGGGCAGTGGAGATACAGTATTACTGTATATAATTGTTTATACTACTGTGTCATTAGTAAAAGGGGAGCTCCTAGCAACCTGAAAGACTAGAGTGCACCCCATATTCAAGACAGGAGACAGTGATCTGAAGCACTGGCTCATGATGGATGGCCACATTTCCCTTCATTTATGCCTCTGTTCGCCTGGGAGTAAATAGGTACCCCGGGAGTTAAGCAACTGTTGCAGGTTACATCTTGGGGAAGATCAGTTGTTGGTCTAGGGGGACTTTGGTAACCCTAAATATAGGCTTTTTGACCTTGACAACATATCAAAATAGGCTTAGGCAAAATAATAGAGGCTTAGCTCTATAACCCTGTGAGAGCATGGTTTATTTCAGGAAAACAATACATTCTTGGCAAGCCTGATTAATTAAATTCTGCAAATCGCCAAGAAAAACCAATAGGGAGAAATTAGAAAAGCAGGTTGGGGTAACTGAAGAGATACTATACTGTAGATAAATGTTGAAAAGCTATGAGAATGACAAAAAAGAGGACTGCATTATACAAATAGGCCATCCTGGACAGGCACACAGATTTGGAGTGACATAAAAAGTAATAAAGTTTGGGAGAGGGAAGAGGAGGTCAAAGTAACAGTACAGTTAGTGTGTACGAGGGAAGCAATTACAAGAATAGAAAAAGAAAAAGTACTTGTAGTGCAGTGCTCTACACTGTTAGCTCACAACCAACGGTTCTGGGTTAAATTTTTTGGCAGGACAGATGGTTGGGCACATTTCCATTCACCTAATGTTTCTGTTCACCCAGCAGTATATAGGTACCAGGGAATTAGACAATTATGTGGGTTGCATCCTGGGGAGGTCAATTGCTGGCCTAGTGGAACCTCGAAAAGCCTACATACAGGCTTCATGTCCCCAACAACAGGAAATTACCACTACAGACATATCTAAACAACATAAATAGCATCTTGTTTGTGAAATTGGCAAACGTAATATCAGTATAGAGGTACAAGACACTATACCATGTGATGGTGTCACCTCTACAGAGATAAGGTATAATGAATACATCAAAGGGAGACTTACCTTGAATCAGGAGCATTCTTCAATGGACTGGTGGTTTCCAAAGGTAGATTCATAGGTGGGGCAAGGTCTGTTATAGCTGAGGTTACATTGGTGTCCAAATTTCTGGCTTATGGGAGAGATGAGCATTGAAGCCATTGTCAGTATTAAGGTCATTTATCATCTGCTTGGGGAGGACTACACAACAGACGGAACGGTGACATCCCTGCATTGAGGCTCAGCCAATCACTTCAGGGCATGACCTAGGGGAATACAAACTCTTGGAATAAAAATAAATAATATAATACTGTAAATTAATAATAAAAAATAAATAAACAAAATTTAATCTGCTAATGGGGAGATTAAATAGAGCTCCTCCAAAATAGGGTTCAGGAACATAGAGAAGGCATCCCAGAATGTTATACACATTGTACATTAGCTCAGTCCTAGAATATCCAACACCAACATGAAAATTTGACACAAAAAAAGAAGCTAGAAAAAATTCTCACGAACAATGGGGGAACTCTGAACTTTGATAACCCACCAGCTTCCTATCCCCACTGGGGCCACTAGAGATTATGGCCTTCAGGTAAATTGAAGTAAATATGATAAGACACACAAATTACTTATTAGAGATAAGAGATGAGCACAGAGTATGAACAAAGAGAATTCATCCTTAACACAAGGAGAGTGTATGACCAGGTGATATCACAATGTTCATTGTCTACATAAATGATTTACCAGAAGAAATACAGAATTATATGACCATATTTGCAGATGTTGCAAAGCGACCAGGTAAGATAAATGTCAACAGTTGTCATGCCTTCCAAGAAGACCCAAAGTGTATAAAGGAACACTTGGTAAATATAATTTAATGTGAATAAATGACACATCGTGGAATGTGGAATTGGAGAAAATAGGCATCACTCGACATACAAATGAGTAAAAGCTTTACAAAATTCAGATAAATAGAGAGATCTAAGGGCAATTCTAGATAGAAAACTGTCACCTGAGGACCACATAAAGAACAATGTGTGAGGATCCTATGCTATGCTTTCCAATTTCAGAAGTGCTTTTTAATACTGTGCCTGGATGGCAAAATGCTCAAGAAATTGCTCACAACCTTTGTGAGACTAAAGTTGGAAAATGCAGCAGTTGTACGGTGCCCATTTCTGAACACACCAACAAACTAGAAAAGGTGCAAAGATATGCAACTAAATGGCTTTTGAACCTGAAAGACAAGAGCTACAAGCAAAGGTTACAGGCATCAAATACTATGCTAAAGCTAGAAGCTGGAAGAAAAAAAGAAGGTGATATGATCATTACATACAAAATAATAATGGGAATCAACAAAATTTAGACAAAAGAATTCTTGAGACCAGAAACTTAAAGAACAAGAATCATAGGTTTAAGCTAACTAAACAAGGCTGCCGAAGAAATAAAAGAACATTCACTTTGGCAGGCAGTCATAGGTAGTTGGAACAAGTGAGGTGGTGGAGGCCAAAGCTGTCAGTAGTTTCAAAGCATTATATGACAAAGAGTGCCGAGATGACGGGACATTACGAGCGTAACTCTCATTCTGTAACTACACTTAGGTAATTACTTACACCTACACACACAGGCTTACTGTCCCAATAAACGGGAATTAAATTATATGTCTTGTGGCACCACATTGGTAATTGCAGTTGGATCACAGTAGAAAGGGGCCAGGTTCAATTCCCACTGTAGGATAGAAGCACTTTGGCAATGTTTCCTTTTACCTGATGCATCTGTTTATCTAGCACTAAATAGATAGCCAGGAGTTAGGCAACTGTTGTGGGTTGTATCCAGAAGGCAAGTAGTTAGCCTGGGGGGGGGGGGGGAGAGAGAGTTTCCTGCCCGAAACGCTTTGCGTAATAGTGGCTTTAGGCATTGTATGTACTAGCTCTACCTATTAACCCAACAAACTTTGTAAAATCTCTTTATGTATGTACCTTACCTAAATAAACATTTATTTATTATTTATTTATAGATCTCTAAGCTTAACAGGTTTCCTGTTCCCAAATATGGGCAACAACAGTAACTGAGATTGGGCACTAAAGCTAGACCAAGCTCCTTATAGTAACACACCATAATTAGGAAAGCCTTTTGGACAATTTTCTACTCTAGTAAACTTGCCTACCGTGAGCAAAAGGTTATTTAATTCATTTTGTCTGGGGACAGGAAGCCTGTGAATATGCATACTTTAGGGTTTTATCGCTCTTCCCTCCCCTCCCAAGGTCAAACCACGGACCCTTAGTTCACCAACAGATTTTAAAATGTTACCTTACCTAACCCCACCGATCCTTGCACAACCTAGCTTAACACATCCTAACCTAAACAATATATACGGTTTTAACACACGAAATAAAATTTGTCGATTCGTCTTATATACGATTTAACCACAACGCCCTCCTTACCGGCCTACCTTATTATTACACTGACCCACAGGTGCTGGGTGCCACACAGGCGCGACCCGGAGGTTACCACCGCAAGATCGGCTACACTCCGGCGGGGGTCATGTGGTCGTTTCGGGCACGTGGCTATTAATAATAAATAAATAATGTTTATTCAGGTAAGGTATATACATACAAGAGATTTTACAAAAATTGATCAATTTATAGATAGAGTTAGTACATACAATGCCTAATGCCACTATTACGCAAAGCGTTTCGGGCAGGGACACTATTCGACCAAGCTCCTTTTCTCTTTGCCTAAAACCATACACAGTATATTGCTATGCTAGGCTGTATAAACATAGGTTAGGCTGTATTGAGTTTGGATGGTTTGCGTTGAACTAGGTTATGTAGGTTTTAAAATTCGTTGGCGAATCGTCTGGTATACGATGTGACTTGTATTCACTCCTGCTACCCCATGAAACTGTATAGCTTAATATATGCAGTTTAAACAAACTGATAACGAGCTTCGTGGAAACGTCTCGTGTCCGAAATGACCATACCCAGATTAAATTCAAATTCAACTAAGTTTATTGAGGTATAAATACGCACAAAGGGGTGAGGTAGCTCAATTGCTATTCTCACCCCTGTTCAGATTAAATAGAAATTGTCAGTTGATTTGTTTATCTGTTGTTTGTGATGCATCCCACACTAACATTGTGGGCGATAGTGGAAAAAAGTACAAAGGTACAACAAGGGCTCAGGAACTAGATTCTATCAAAAGTGTGTCGAAGAATGTCGTCCATCACCCCAGCTGTGTAAGAGAACGGGAATAATGCGGCGCGAGATTTGTAAATGTCTAATGACCATTATATGCGTGGCTAAATCTTCAGGCAGTCATTATATAGTGAAGTTACATGAGGGCCACTATAGCTCTAGCTAGTGGCCTTGACGAAGGCAGAAAGCTGATGGTTTGTCAAGGGTCCCTCATTTGCCCTGATGATTTTGTATTTTAAGATCTTCAATTACAGGAGTGTTTTTGCATTTACGGCTTTGGCAGGTAGCGGTTCCATGGGTTTATAACCCAGCCCGTCCTCGCATAAAAAGACCCAAGCTAGTTAAACCAGCCACCAAACCCCCTGTTTATGAATGAAAAACGCTTTACACACGACTCACAAGTGCTGATGTTCGAACACTTCCAGAACAAGTGCTTCACTGACGAATTTTGTTCGAACCACAACGCTGTAAATACTTCACCCAAGTACTACAAATACAAATAATTGCCAACAGAACATAAAACACCTAACCTAACCTATGTGTAACTATACATAGAATTTTTATGTATAATAATATTAATTTATATACGATAAAAAACATTTTTTAATACACAATATTACAAATTACTATCAGATTGACAAATCCATCAATTTGCAATCAGAAAGACAAATCTGATAGCAAGTTCACCACCGGGCGACAAAAATCATTAATGAACTAAATCAACTTCCATACCAGGAACGGTTGAGGGCCCACACAGCTAACATCACTGCAAATCAGACATGACAGAGCTGATCTCATCGAAACTTAAAATATTGAGCAGTTTGGAAGATATTGATCCAGACTTCTTCAAAAGGTCAGACGTAACACACAGGAGAAGCAACGGAGTCAAGCTCAGCAAGCCACAATGTAGGATACTAAAACAGGAGATG